CATTATTCTTTTTATTATTAACTCAAACTTCCATGATTCTGTAAATATAATAAATGTTAATTAAAAAGTGAAAAAAAAAAAAAAAGAATTTATATAAACATGGCCATAATTAATTAATTAATTTGAAAAACTTGGAAGTTAATTTACAAGTTCAAAGCTATAAAAGTACATATCAGGTAAAGGCTAAAACAAGTATCAACTGATACAGAAATCAGCTAGGACACACTACTCGGATGATTTAAGGTTTCATAACAATTATCAAGATCACTTGCATTGCAGCACACAGATGAAACCAAAGACCGCCAAACACAAATCTCTGGCAGCAAACCCTGGCTAACCATCTCTTCCACCCACATCACAGCTTCATACAGCCTCTGCACGGAGCAAAGACCCCCTATCAGAACGTTATATGTTTCGAGACAAGGCCTATATGATTTTATCAACATCTCCTCCAAAACTCGGCTTGCATCAAGAAATCTACCATTGGAACATAGTCCATTCACTAAAATATCATAAGTTTCCTTGTTAGCAACACAGCCGACCTGCTTAGCCATTTTCTTCAGGTATTCAACAGCCAGTGCCGACTTCCCTTCATCACACAGACCTTTCATTAGAATATTATATATTCTAACATTTGGAGCCAAGTACCCTTTTGCCCTCTCTTCATCAACTACTTTCAATGCCTCTTCAACTTTACCATCCTTGCACAATGCAGCCATCTTTGCTTCGTATATTTGTGGGGTTGGCCAAAAGCCTCTATTGCGCATTTTGTACAGCACCATATCACCTTCAATAACCCTATCTTCATTATAAAGATCAATCGCCATAGCACTGTAACTGGCCAAACTAGGAATTATCCCTCTAATCAGAACTTCATTAATTAAAAGCTTTGTGCCCTCTGTATCCTTGCAGTTACTAAACTGACTAGGATCAAGACGACAATAACTGCGTTTTGGAGCCTTTAGCCCCTTCCTTAAGATTTTAACAAGTATCTCCAAAGCCTCTTCAACTTTTCCATTATCACACAAAGCATCTAAAAGTATTCTATAGATCACAACATCCTCACCACTGCCCTTCTGTGAGACCCTCCAAAACATTGAATACAATAAATGTGTTGCCTCGTGCAACCTCCCATCTCCACACAATCCCTTCATCAAGACTTGATAACTTTCCCTATCTGGATAGCAACCCTGATAATTCATCTCTTGTAGAACTTGCAATGCCAAATCAGAGCGGTTACGTTCACAAAGAGCCCCCATAAGCAAATTTAAAGACTGAACCCTAGATTTCACCTCCCATCCATAAGAATTCTCTGAGAAAAGATGATAGGCACTCTCAAGTCTCGACTTTTTCACCATTTCCCGCAAAAGAGTGTTGAAAGATTGAGTCCAACTGATGCAGTTAAATTGATGAAGTTTCTTGAAAAGAGTCTCAGCCTCGTTTAGCATTCCAGCTCTTGAAAATGTCTGTATTATTGATGCAAAAACTGAATCTTTACAAGCACAAGAATCTTCTTTCACTTGCTCAATCACTTCTTTCATTTCAGTAATTCTGTCCGCATTTCCAAGGATGCCAATCATGGTTGCATAGACAGAGCCATTGTGATGATAATTCGGGTATTTTTCTTTTGCTTCCCTTGAATAGTTGCAGGCTGTTAGTGGGTTTTTTTGGTTCCTTATGATTTGAGAGAGGTGAGTTGGTGTTAAAACCTTTGGCCATCTCACCCTCATGGCATTCAACATTCTCTGTCTTTGTTAATCAGAGCTCGGATTGGCTTCTACTGGTGTGCATGCAAGCACTTCACACTATCATTGAGAATATATAAGGCTCTCCTAAATAAAAATAAACAAATAAATAAATAAATTAACCGAATGACTCATAAATGGATAAAAAAAAATATTGCTTAATAAATTTTTATAATGTGCAGGCATGATTTCTGTAGGAGTAATCATGTTTTGACGCAAAGAAAAAAACTTCAGAAGGAAATAAGGATGTAGGAATAAACCATATAGCTAAAATTTCACGCTGAATTTCAGTTGACCCTTTAAAAGTTGTAGTCATACCTTGTGACAGAGTAAATATCATTTTCAGTGGGCGTCCAAGTGATCACATGAATCATCCTTGAGAGGGATGAAATTTTAGCAATCATGACGGATAAAATTCAAACAATCATGATTGGAGCCCCTAAGAAATCCTAAATAAGCAAGCTTTACATAAATATAAGCCAGCTTCCAACACAAAAATCCATATCTTAAAACAACCTACGCAAGGCCATGCACTCATATACAGGAACCATAAGCCAAGCTCAAATTAAATATAAAGCATTACATATTGAGAGCAAAATATCAGAGAGTGTTCAAACACGTAAACAATCATTTACGAAAATACATGAAAGCAAAAAAATCCCAAAATTAGGCCAGCAAAAAGCAGAAAGAGACTTGTGAAGATTTTGAGAGTAGGAAAAACTTATTTTTTCATCTTATTACATCAATTATCAGTGTCTCATTTTATAGACAAAACAGAAGGGAAAAAACAAATTAACTTTCCCTAGCAAATGACAGCTAGCATTCTATTACGGTGCCTGGTTGTCTGACAAAAACAGAAAGCAGTAACAATAAATATAACTTATTCCTAATATTTCTATACTCCCCTCAATCTAGATTACGTAAATGTTGAGTAAGCCTAGATTGAATATCAATTCGTTGAAGTGTCTTTTGATAAGTGCTTTTGTTAAAATATCTGCACTTTGTTGACTACTAGGAACATGGAGTATTATAATGGTTTGATCTTCAATCTTCTCTCTGATGAAGTGCCTATCTATCTCCACGTGTTTAGTTCGATCATGATGTACAGAAGTTTTAGCTATACTGATTGTTGATTAATTGTCGCACCATACTTTCATGGGAGTAATAACCAAGAATTTTATTTCCATTAGAATCTTTTTTAACCAAACCTCCTAACATATTCCATGAGCAAGTGACCGAAGTTCAGCTTCTGCACTACTTCGTGACACAACAGATTGTTTTTTACTCCGCCAAGTGACTAAGTTTCCCCAAACATAAGTACAGTACCCAGAT